CTGGGCTGAATATAACGAGTTTACTCAGTTATTGATATGCAGCAGGAAGTTTTAGTAAACTTGCTCAGCTAATAGCGCTCGACCTCAAGAATAAATTGTGCTTGTTTGCGGACTCTAAAGTGATAATTGATTTCGAGTTTAGACTAAGGTAAAGGTGCTGCGCTTGCATCGGATTACCTGGTTAACCAATGGATATTGTGTGCACGGTTATATATATATATATATATATAATTGTCTTTAAATATACAACAATTTCATTGAAGCGATCCACCACCCACAGATGTAAAACTTGAATGCAGAGTATTGTCTGAAGAACTTGGCACAACTCAATCAATATTTAAATTAATTTTTGTAATTTATTTGCTTTACTTTAAGTTTGCGGAAATTGAGTATTCCCTCGACATATTTCATCACAAGCTGACTGCATAAAGTCAACTTAAAAAACTTTTTAACACTCGCAGAGCGAAACCTACTTAATCCCTTGACATATATCAACTTGAAATAACTGCAACAGCAACTGCAACGGCAAATGCGCTTTTTCGCAACTGCATAAATCGTTGAATGCTCGCGAATTACTTAAGGCTAAAAACAGCTAAGGAAACTTTTGGCGAACAAGTTGAAAAGTTACGCCTATGCCAGATTTTGCCAATGCTGCCAATATGCTCGACCTCAAAGTGGCAAAGAAAAAACAAGTAGCAGAAGCTCAGTAAGCTGCACCACCCAGGGCCAAACGCCCACCAGTAACATGAATCCAATCTGTGAGGCCACAGTCTCTATCTCAGTCTCAGTCTCAGTCTCAGTCTTAGCCTCAGTCTCTGAGACGAGTCATGCAAAATAGCAACAAGCGAGTTGAATACGCGGAAATTGAATCTAAAAGCTGCTTCGTCCTTGTTGAACGTATTTTCTAGACAGCTACCAAAATGGGGAAAAACATGAGCATCAGGAAAATGTAAAATCTAAAGAGCTAAATGCCTGGCTCACGTTTTTCTTGGGGCGTGTTGGCCCACGATTGATTTGTAGTGTTCGCCCTGCGGTCACACGAAATGAAACCTAAAGAAGGTTTATTTCATAATAACAACTAGCTAACTCCATTAATTAGAATTTCAATTTGTGTACATTTTTTTTCTAGTTCAAAAAATATTCTTTAAGGCTTTAGCAGCGCATAAAAGTGTTCTGCTCTTTATGCCCCTTTATTTTTTATATATTATCTAACAATCTTTAGATTGAAATTACAGTTACAATTTCATGGCCCAGCAGTTCATAAAAAATATGAGCATGAAGGTAAGCTTGCGACTAAGCGATACCCTGTACCCAACTCTTGTTAGCTTTGCTTCCTCTTCCATTTCCAGTTTAACTTCCTTTTGCTCTCTTAGTTGGAATCAAGTCAACATGATCTGAAATCAATGCTGTTTAGCTATTAGTAATCAACTCACATTTTTCGTAGTTATTAAACCCTTTTAGAACACTTTGCTCACAGGGTAAATGCAAATGGAAATTCAAAGCTCACATTTGTTTATTTTCAATTTCTATTTTGAAAATTGCATTTCGTTCAGGCACACGCAATGTATTTTTATGATAATTCCAAAAAAATTGAACCATTGTCTGGAATTCATTGTGTGTGTAAATACAAACAAGGTACAACAAATTTAAGTCAGTTTAGGCTTAGTTGGCAGCTTAAGTGTAGTTCGAATTAAGAGCTTCTTAAGTTTAGGAACCAATTTCCATATACTTTCTTATGGCCATTAAGGGACGGGAATCGCATCTGGGCAACTACACAAAAATACACAGATAGACGAACGCATGCAGCAGTTATACTGATGCAAAATAAATAAACTTATTCTCATTTTATAATACTCTTTTAATACTCTTTAAAAGTGTAATTGCTCAACTACACATTTATTATATTTTATTTTTTAAATGATGCTTTCATGATAAGCTAAAAACATCAAAGACCCCAAATAGCTTTAAAATATTACCAAAGTGTAGCCAGGCCAAGGTCAAGTCTTTATACGCTTTAAATGCTTTGATTCCGTTTGCTTAGCTTATACTGAAATTGTGATTTTGTATGCTGAATATTATTGACTCATATTGCTGTAATTATGTACAGTCTCCATACGATTGAACGCCTATTAAGTGCTTAAGTATCAAATTTGCTTTGGAGAGTGTGGCATATTTGTAATTCAAATTTAATTATACGTATTATTACTATTAGAGCAACTGTTTGAGTTCCCTGTCAGAATTGCTTAGCTTTTTATGTGACACGTGCCGCAACAAGGACTCGGCCTGTGGCTACACCTGACATGCGTCATGAACATTCCTCAAATTGGTTTCAAAGCCATTTCTTGACCTGCGATTAAAGTTGCCCATGGAAATTTGAGCTCACATTGTGACGCCACATTATGGCGATTGGCTCAGGCATTCATAACTTAAGCACGTTTGTGGCACTTGGGGAATATGATATGAAAATGGTTTGTCTAATCTTCGAAATGTCTCCATGACTTCGGCTCAAGTGAAAAGGGTTAAGCCATTGAGCGCTGTGCACACATATATTAACAAACTTATTGTCGGTCGCCTTCAAGGTTGCGTGTCTCTCAGCCTCAATGACAGTCCTCGTTGGCCCGGGGCACAACACAGTTTCTGCTGACTGGTCAGTGGGCGAGTCCAATTGACATAAATATTAAGGCACATTGACAGTTTGACATTTGCCTAAATATTTCGTCATGTTCTTAATATGCATTTCCATTTAGATTCTTATTTAAAGTTTCGACCGCTTCACATGTAAAAGCAATATTTAATGACTGAATGTATTCACATATGAAGTCGAATATATGTCGAGTGTGCGACGAATAGCAAATGTTTTTTGATACCTTTACTAAATATTTTTAATATCTGTTAGGTGATTCACAATTCAAATACCATTTGAGAACTATTTGAATAAAAATACCTCAAATGGAAACGGCTTTTATCCATGTGCAATAATCGAGAGTGCAGATGATTCAGCTGAATGTCTGACTCTGTTTAACAGGTCAATGATTGAATAGGTCAATGCTGTTGACAGGCTGGCAAATCCAACAACAAAATTGACCTGGTCGTTTGAAAAAACAGTTAGGTTATGACTTCTGAGACTTTTCATTTTAAGATGAAGATAGCAAAAAAACATATTTTAATATTAAACTAGAACAGGTAAGTAAAAAGCAAAGATTACAAACTAATTTATATATATGAAACTTTCGGGGCTGCCAAGATAGTTTGCCATCTCTGGCAATTTAAGCAAAAGTTAAGGAATTGGCAAGCTAAAATTCAATTGAGCCGAGTCGCAGAGTGCAGAGTGCAGGACACGCAGCAAATGAGGCGCAATCGTGGCATACTTTCGGGCGCTAGCCTTTGGTATGTTGCCATAAGCTGCTTTGTGTCTGTGTGTGTGTGCGTGTGCGTGTGCTTGCAAATACTTAAAGGCAAGACAAACCATGTCAATGACATTTGACGCGTGACCCTTTTTCGCACACAAGCACAGAGCCAGCGAAGGCAAACATATACCCATAACCATAAACATTTACCCAGAGCATCGCAGCGAGCGCCAAGAGTTGACTTTCTTACTATCGTTGCTGTTGATGTTGCTGTTGTTGTTGATTTTGCTGTAAGCGCTGCTTGCTAGCTCGCTAGTGGGGTCGTTTCAATGTGATTAGATGCGATTGTGTACGCAATTGAGCGAAATTGATGGCATTGCCATTAAAAGGTATGACACACCGCCCCGTCCCGCCCCATTGCATTGGTTTCAGTTACATCGCCACTGCCGCCGTTGCTGCCGTTCATAATTAATTTTCTAGTGAATTTACTTTCATGACATTTCGGTTAGCTAAGTGTGGCCAAGGGAAGCCAGCCCAGCCAAGCCCCATGCTCAACCCCTGCTGCCAGCTGCCCGGTAGCTGCTGTGGATACATAAAAGTTGCCTCAGCTGCGGCATTTATTTTAATTTGAAAACTATTTTCACGCCCCGTCTACGCCTCGTCCTTCACCGTCTATATTTTGTGTGGCCATGCTAATGCTTATTATTTTCGCATGACTTTAGTTGGATTTTTATTACATAAGTCGGCCGCGTTGCGTATACGCAGCTTTGTACAACAGCCACAATTTGCATTATAATTTGTATATGGCGTGCCACATTACTCTCTCTGAATTTATCGCCAGAGCTGGAGAGGCTAAAATCTGTTATAAGCATTCGCACATCACTCGTTGCTTAATGGCAACATAATTGTAGTGCGGCGGACTCGTTCTCTAATCGGACAATCAGCTCTCTAATAACTCTGTTTAGCTTCCTGTGCTCTCCAGAGCCAAGTACTCCGATAGATCTCGCTCTTGATAGGGATGGTATTAAGATGTGAGTTTAGAGTCTCGTGATCGCTTGTATGCAGCGCTCACTGTAGTTGTGTGTAGTGTGTGATATCTTTTATGCAAAAAAGTAAAAAGAAGAGGGGAAGGATATAAAAATACATATCTAAATACTTAACGTAGTTAAGCTGGCAAATTATTTGCACGAAAATATTTTGGCTTCGGGCTAGGCAACTTCCGGCCCGACCCGGCCCAGTTTGGTCTGTGTTGCCCTTTGGCGATTGGCAGTTGGCTCTTGGCTGTTGGCACTTGGCGTGTGTAGCACCCATTTAGCCGTGGGGCCAGTTGCCACAAGGCGATACATAGCTAAATAAAAGGGGCAAGCTGGAGGTGGGCCAGCTCCTCCCGTGGGTGTAAAGCATTTGCGTTGTGTTCTTTTCGCGGCCCAAAAAAGAGAGCGATATCCACGCAGCAATTACCTTTGATTGGACACTTAAGTTTTTGGTTTTGTTTTATTGAAACGTGATTTATGAGACTTGATTTGACACAAGGTCAGCTTGACTTGTATAGCACGTAACTTTCAACAGAAACCTATCGAAATAAATGATGGAGATACGACATAATCCAATTGCATTGGATTGAATACCAAGAGAAGTCGAATACGATTGAAATCGGCCTGAATGACGTCTATTTATGTATTTGGAACTATGTTAAATTGGTTACAGTCTTCCTTGGCTAAGGCTGATTGTTGGTCTTGATTTTGCTGTGCAATCTTGGACTCGAAGAAACGTTTTGCTCCGCTTACGCCCACCTCGGAAACATTGACGGATTCCTTGGGTCGTGTCAGGTCCAACTGAGAGTTCATTGGCTGACCGACTCTTGATTTATTGGTTTCCAGGATCGCCGCATAAGTAAGCAGAAATTGGCAAAAGTTCATCTTTGTTGCTTGATTGCCGACAATTTGACCCATGAGTTCCTTTGCGGCCAGGTGCGTCTGTGGCACCGATAGCTTCTCCAGAGCTAGCTTCAGCTCAGGTAGCTCAATATAGTTGTCTTCATTTCCATCGTATAGCTTGAAGGCAGCAAATGCTTCACGAATCTCGTCGGGTTCAAAGAACCGCTGGGAAGGCTTGCTCGTAGCATGCGGCGCGTCGTCCTCGCTGCTATCGGTGAGTCGCAGAGTGCGACTCTCCAGGACGACGCACAGCGACAAGCGTTTCGCCAGGTCTTGGGCATCGATTGGGCCGACCATCTTGTTTATGTCAACCCTTGACGACATATCCCCCAAATCAGCTTCGAAATCGTTGGTGCCCCTGTCCAAGCTCATGGTCGACACACTTTTCACGCGGCTTTTCCATGCTTTACAAATGGTTTTAAAGGATTCGCATGAGGCGAACGACGAGTCGAGGGATAGGTCCGATAAATTCTCAACCGAATTGCATGGGGTAAGTGGCTTCTCTATGACGCTATCACCGATTCCATGTGTCTCAGTTGGCGGCATGATACTAATGGGTCCATGAGTCGACTTTACTATTTTAACGGGTTCTTTTTCAATTTCAGTTGCCATTGTCTTAGATGGGATTAAACGTTAACATTAAATTTAGATATGAATTCAATTATCAAAGAGCTTAAAATATTTTGACCAAAAACTACTTCAGAATTTGTTCTGTTCTGTACAAAGTTAAAATAATAATCAATTTTATTGAAAAAAAATAACATTTCAAGTCAACAACAATTTGGCCTGTTATGTTTTATGATCCCGAAAATAAATATGAAGCGAATAAAACTAATCTACTGGAAAGCGAACTAGGAGATCAACTCCAAGATAAGTGAAATTAGGTACAAAACAGCCATAAGAGCCTTAAGGATCTAATTTAAGAAATGGAAAAATATTCTTAATACGTTTATGTGTTCCTGTGTATTGTGCTTGAGAGCATACAGACATACAGACATATAGACAGACAGACAGACAGACAGACAGACATACAGACATACAGACAGACAGACAGACAGACATACAGACATACAGACATACAGACATACAGACATACAGACATACAGACATACAGACATACAGACATACAGACATACAGACATACAGACATACAGATTGATTAGCAGCAGCAGGCTCCATTTTAGTACATTTACTACAATTAAATTATAAGGACAGGTGAAGCTGATGTGAAGTGTGACCATCTGCATGGCTGGTAGTGACAACTTCAAGGCTAGCAGATTTTGTTTGCAACTCAGCGAATTGACTTACTGTCCAGGGTTAGTGTGAAGTTTACGTGAGCAGAACGTGTACAAAGCCATGTAATAAGGGCTGCCAGCTTCAATTTATATTTTATGACGTCTGTAGACGACGGTTGTTGTCTGCTATAAGCACACAAATAAAGAAAGAAAAACAGTTGAAGTCGATCACGCTTTAACTTTCTTTAATATTCAATCGAATGTTTTATTCTTATATCAACTTGAAGACAATCTTAAAAAAGTTGAGTTCTCTAGTAAAAAAAATATTATTTAGTGAATTTGGACTTAAACTTGAATCGAATGATAGCTTAAAAGGTTAAATTCTCTCCATTCTCTATCTATTAGTGACGAAGGGACCATATAAACGAGTAGTTTAGCAATAAAAGTTTGGCAGCTCAGCTCTTCCTCTTTCGGCGTTGACCAATTAGTCAGCTGACAAGTCAGTTGAAAAGTCAGCCAATTAGGCAGTACAAATAGTTGCATATATTTATATTAATTGGCATTGGACGGACGGTTGGCTCATAGTTTTTGCATCTATTTTAATTTTGCCTTGCTTGGCCACAATCTCAGTTAATATTCCCCGGTTGTCTTGAGCACGTAACTCAGGCAATAGAAGGATTTTTGGTCTGTTTCAGTTTGCTAACCCTCCAACTGCAAATTAATGACTGTGGAGTGTGTGGTCGCTGCCTGGGCGTTTTTTGGGACTGTTAACATGCCATGGCCATAAACAGTTAATTAAGCTTTTATTGGTTACTCTCTTTTTTGCGCCCTGACATTTCACGTTTTATTTGTCAAACAGAAGGCCAAAAAAGTGACGACCATAAACGGCTAGCCGTATGACCAAATGCCAAGCCGCTCGCTTATTTGCCTCGTGCCGCAAGGTAGGCCACGTTATATTTGCACACCACGGCCCCGCCGCGGTGGCTGCTGAGTGGTGCTCGGTTCTCTCTCGTTTTTGGGGGCAGAGTTTATTTATTCGCTCATTTCGTGTGCAGAAATATTTGGTGATAACGAGCCGTCAGCCCGCAGCGGCTTGTCATGCTTAAACCACATTTATTTGTTGGCAACACGGCAACAATAAAAAATTTTGTATATTCTTTTATACAAGTAAATTTTTGTAGGTTACCCAACAGAGCAGCGACAAATGTGTAAAAAAAGGCCACAAAAAGTTGGCGGCATCGGCATTTAATTTACATTGCAAAGTTTCGTTTCGTTACATTCAGTTCGCGAGAGCATTCAGATAATAAAAATCAGAGAAGTGGAACTGAAACAGAAACTGGAACTAGGTTAAGCAAAAGTGGATAACAAAATAAGAGCTATAGCTACGCCAAGCAAGCAGGCAGGCAGGCGGGTAGGCAACCAGATAAAAAGTCTAAAATGTTAAACAAAAAAATAAATATATAAGAAAGTCAGCCTGAGAAATGCCAAGTGAAAGTTGGGAAAGCCCTTAAACAGCAGGCCATAGCAAGATGCATCGCCTCGGCTTACAAGTTCCCAATTCTATTTAAGATATACTCTCTCGATAGTCGACTCAGAAAACTTGATTCTCAATGATGAAGTCTGGTAGAATAGTGAAGTCTTAACATTAGTAACGGATGAGTATGAGGAGGCACTCAAGTTAACAAGGGAGTTATGAATGCCTGAATGTCTGTATGTCTGTATGTCTGTATGTCTGTATGTCTGTATGTCTGTATGTCTGTATGTCTGTATGTCTGTATGTCTGTATGTCTGTATGTCTGTATGTCTGTATGTCTGTATGTCTGTATGTCTGTATGTCTGTATGTCTGTATGTCTGAATGTCTGAATGTCTGTATGTCTGTATGTCTGTATGTCTGTATGTCTGTATGTCTGTATGTCTGTATGTCTGTATGTCTGTATGTCTGTATGTCTGTATGTCTGTATGTCTGTATGTCTGTATGTCTGTATGTCTGAATGTCTGTATGTCTGTATGTCTGTATGTCTGTATGTCTGTATGTCTGTATGTCTGTATGTCTGTATGTCTGTATGTCTGTATGTCTGTATGTCTGTATGTCTGTATGTCTGTATGTCTGTATGTCTGTATGTCTGTATGTCTGTCTGTATGTCTGTATGTCTGTGTCTGTATGTCTGTATGTCTGTATGTCTGTATGTCTGTATGTCTGTATGTCTGTATGTCTGTATGTCTGTATGTCTGTATGTCTGTATGTCTGTATGTCTGTATGTCTGTATGTCTGTATGTCTGTATGTCTGTATGTCTGTATGTCTGTATGTCTGTATGTCTGTATGTCTGTATGTCTGTATGTCTGTATGTCTGTATGTCTGTATGTCTGTATGTCTGTATGTCTGTATGTCTGTATGTCTGTATGTCTGTATGTCTGTATGTCTGTATGTCTGTATGTCTGTATGTCTGTATGTCTGTATGTCTGTATGTCTGTATGTCTGTATGTCTGTATGTCTGTATGTCTGTATGTCTGTATGTCTGTATGTCTGTATGTCTGTATGTCTGTATGTCTGTATGTCTGTATGTCTGTATGTCTGTATGTCTGTATGTCTGTATGTCTGTATGTCTGTATGTCTGTATGTCTGTATGTCTGTATGTCTGTATGTCTGTATGTCTGTATGTCTGTATGTCTGTATGTCTGTATGTCTGTATGTCTGTATGTCTGTATGTCTGTATGTCTGTATGTCTGTATGTCTGTATGTCTGTATGTCTGTATGTCTGTATGTCTGTATGTCTGTATGTCTGTATGTCTGTATGTCTGTATGTCTGTATGTCTGTATGTCTGTATGTCTGTATGTCTGTATGTCTGTATGTCTGTATGTCTGTATGTCTGTATGTCTGTATGTCTGTATGTCTGTATGTCTGTATGTCTGTATGTCTGTATGTCTGTATGTCTGTATGTCTGTATGTCTGTATGTCTGTATGTCTGTATGTCTTGTATGTCTGTATGTCTGAATGTCTGTATGTCTGTATGTCTGTATGTCTGTATGTCTGTATGTCTGTATGTCTGTATGTCTGTATGTCTGTATGTCTGTATGTCTGTATGTCTGTATGTCTGTATGTCTGTATGTCTGTATGTCTGTATGTCTGTATGTCTGTCTATTTAGTATAAATTAAGCCTCACAACCAATAAGTTCTTCCATTCTCTTAAAGAGAACTTGGCTTTTGCTTGAGCCTAGTTGCTTGTGTCGACAGCAAGTTTTTTGTTTGGGCCAAAAGTGTCAAAACAACTTGGTGCGCTCAGTTGCAGTGATTATGGCTTCGGCTATGCTGCTGCTGTGGGTGTTCAAGTCGATACTGGCAAAAACGAGTGTAAGTTGTTGATTTCTTAAGTTAAGAGAAAGTTGGCCTTCTGAATTGGCTGGCAGCCAGGCAGCAATTCGTAGGCAGCGAATACCAAATGCACTTCATAAAAAACTGCAAGTGAAATTGAAAGGCAAGCTGACGCCTACGAAAACTTGTCACATAAATTGCAGCTGGCGAATTGAAAACGAAGTTTGTCCATGGCCAGAGATCATAATTAATGATACTCAAGCTTTAATACGAGACGGAGCCTTTCTTAGACTCTTGCTTTTCATATTCGTCTTGGCAGCACAATAAATCTCAATATAACCAAAGTGGACGTTACACTCTAAACTTTGACATTTGATGGTAAAATCTGCCTGTTGCCCCTCACACACACAAGTCCACCATATACCGAAAAGTCTGCAGCCATCGTTTGTCATGCTGCACGTAAGCTCAATAATTTTTTGCCTTTCGTTTAAACTGAGGCAGCTGAAGGTCCTAGCGAGAGGACTGGCCAACGTCCAGGCTTGATATAATTTCTATATGTATTATTCCGCAAACCCAAATTGATTACTCAGAGTATTTTGAACAACTTCCCGGGGTTGTCGGCTCTTTTCTCTTAGTCTCTTTTTTGACATTTTTTTCTTTGGGTCTCTCTGCTTAAACCCTTTGTTTATATATCAAGTTTTTTTCATTTTTTACTCTTGGTATTTTGCTTAATTGAAGTCTTAAATGTTTCTACATTGCGCTGGGTACAGAAAAGCCACAATATGAAAAGCTTGCACAAAGAAAACACAATGCACACAGCATTCACATGTGCAAGGAAATGAAAAATGAAGTCCAGCCAAAAAAATGTAGCGAATTCTTGTACTTCCTTTAAACAAACTTGGTCCAATTGAATACCTACTGATTGCATACACAAACCATTACACATACACGTACAAATATCAATCAATCAGTCGGCATTTAACAGGCGTCTCTTGTACCACATAAAAGAGCTACTCAAGAGCCAAGTACATACGAAGTTAGAGAGTGCTATATTATCTAGAAAGCGTTTCACTCAAAGTTTATTTCCTTCAACAGAACTGCTTTACTTATGTTATCAGCTTGGGCGACTCGCTCAGCACAGAATATCTTGAACACACTTTTATGTTTATATATAAGCTAAGATATGTGTAAGTAATAAGATAT